TCTGATAAGCCAGTGACTCATCGTCCTTATTGTTTCAATGAAAAGGATAAAGAGATTTTGAGAAATATCATAAAAGAATTGTTAGAAGCTAAAATACTTCGAAAAAGCAACTTCCCATTCTCGAGTCCTGCCCTCCTCGTAAAAAAAGGTGAACACGACAAGAGGATGGTGGTAGATTATAGAGCATTAAATAAAATAACTATAAAAAAAATCAGTGGCCTATGCCATTAATAGAAGAAATTATCGACAATTTAAGCGGATATAAATACTTTACAACTCTTGATCTGGCATCAGGGCATCATCAGCTACCAATGGATCCTGAATCCATTCCTTATACTACGTTTATTACTCCGGAAGGACAGTACGAGTTCGTACGTGTTCCTTCTGGATTATGTAATGCACCAACAGTTTTTCAAAAGTTTATGACTGAAATTTTCGCATCCCTAAGAAATTTTAACGTGATTCCATATTTGGATGATATTGTGATACCTTCAAAAAACATTGAAGAGAGATTGGAAATTTTAAGTAAGGTACTGGAGATCATTAAAGAGTTTGGACTTACATTGAGAATGAATAAGTAAACTTTTCTGACAGAAAATATAACTTATTTAGGCTATGAAATTTCTCTTAATCAAATATCACCATCAAAATCAAAAACTGAGGCAGTAGAACATTTTCCTTATCCTAAAAATCATTACATCAGCTGAGACAATTCTTAGGTTTAGTAGGGTATTTTAGGAAATTCGTAGCGGATTTTGCACGTATTACTGCGCCACTTACTAAATTATTAAGAACAAACAGTCGTTGGGAATGGACAGATCAACATAAAAAAATTGTTGACAATTTAAAACTAAAAATATGTGCTGAACCAATATTAACTATTTTTAATCCATCATTGCCAACAACTGTATACCTATATTGATGCAAGTCGAGATGGATTTGCTGGAATTTTGATTCAAAAGATTGATAATAAAGAAAACCCAATAGCATATTTCAGTAAACAAACCAATAATGCAGAAAAAAAATTTCACTCTTTCCAATTGGAGCTACTAGCTATTGTTAAAATATTAGAACGGTTTAGATTATTTTTATATTTTTTTAATAAATAATAAGTTAATTGGAAACTGTTTTTTGCGTCTTTATGCTCGGGCGGGCCATAATGTGTACTTTATGCCCGCACGGGCATAAAGTAATGAATTATGTAGATGGTATCTAAGGTATAAAAACACAATAATGTATTGGTATGACATAAAATTGATTTATAATTGTCTTGGAGATTATTATTAGATATTCATCTCTGGTTTTGTAATTTAAAACTGTTAATTTTTATCCCTGATGATAATTATCCAAATAAAAACATCTAATTTGGTTCCACCAACTCCCTCGACTGCAATATTACTTTGCAGTTCAAAAGTATCTATCTGTTGGGCTCTACTGAGGTGCAAGGTATGTTCAAAGAAGTTATTATATGGTTTCAAAAGGATATCAAATTTTCCAATAATTCTTTCCATCATGAATATTTTAAATGTTTTGAGCTTCAAAATTTTCTTTTGTACTTCGAAGTGATTCTTGTGTCACGGTCGCTAAATGAAATGTATAACTGAGGAACTTAACCAGTCCTCTAATTATATCGGTGCAGGTTCACACAGTACAGGGTGCTGCAATTTGGAGTGTTTCAACAGGAAAAACATACTTGCAGACCAGATAGAGAAAAATTGACTTAAACGTCATGGGATCGATTTTCGAGAAACGTCGATTGTCAAAAACCGTATCACGATATCTTCAATGATACCATTGATACAGGGCGATTTTCGATTTTCCCCTATTATGAAAAATAGCTATAAGTTTTTTATTCATCAATTTTTTTTATTTCTGTAAAAACATTATAAAGACACTTTTTTGAGCACAACCCAGTGGCGAACTCAGTTTTTTTCTATATCGCTCCGATTTCGAGATATCGACCAAAGTCCGATATTTTCAAATGAAACTACTTATATATTAAAAGCTCATTGGATAGTTCTGTTTTTGCTGATTTCAATGATATAAAGTTCGATAGGTTTATATCTAACAGTTTTCGAGAAAAAAAATTATATCAGTTTTTGTCGTAAGGACCAATGTGTTAGAAAAAGATTTTATGTACGACCTACACTGTAAGAGATTATTACGTAACTTATTTTAGCCTGTTTGAGTTACGTAATAAATTGCATTATCGTGCTTAGTGATGTAATGAGCTCATTACATCACTCAGTGATGTAATGAACTCACATTACATCACTCAGTGATGTAATGGGATCTCATTACGTAACTCATTTTTATTGAAAAACGGCAGTTTTTAAAATTCATTTATCAAAAATTATAAATATAATCTTTTGTGAAAAATTAAAACCATTTCGAATATATGAAAAATATCTGAGTCGTACATAAAATCTTGTATATCACACGTACGGTAACGCCCATTACACCACTCGTGTGATTACCACGTCTCGGTCTACGACCTCGTCTTGGCAATATTCCCCACTCGTTACTGTAATGAAGCTCATACCGTACTAGTAATATAAATAACTATTATATGTGTAAGGAAAATGAGGAAGGTCTCTTTCTAACACATTGTTTCTTATGACTGAAACAGATATAATTTTTTTTCTCGAAAACTGTTAGAGATAAACCTATCGAACTTTATATCGTTGAAATCAGAAAATGCAGAGCTATCCAATATCCAATGAGTTATTAATATATAGCGTGTCCCATTTAAAAAAATCGGACTTTGGTCAATATCTCAAAATGGAAGCGAAATAGAAAAAACGGAATACACCACTGGATTGTGCTCAAAAAAGTATCCCAAAGATATTTTCACAGAAATAAAAATAATTGACAAACAAAAAACTTATAGCCATTTTTCAGAATAGGGGAAAATCGAAAATCGCCCTGTATTAATGATACCATTAAAGATATCGCAATACGGTTTTTGACAATCGACGGTTCTCGAAAATCAATCCCATGACATCTAAGTCAATTTTCCTCTATCTGCTAGGAAATTCTGTAATTTTCGTTTATATCGCGAAACCAAGCTAAAGCTAAGCTAAATCATAGCGAAGTCGATTTTTGTTGATATTCTATAAGGTGTTCGCTTCGCTTCCGCTTCGTTTTCCTAGTGTCACACGACTGAATTCGAGTTTGAGCGACGTATGCATAAATAATTATGGCAACATTGTAGATATCTGAGCCCAAAGCAAAAACTGTAAAAAAAGAAGAGAAAATCAAAAGGAACATATTATGGAACATACCCCAAATTTGGATTTTGATTATTTTGAAACTTCAATGACATAATTAATCATTTTTATTTTTCTTTCTTAGTATTTATCTTGCATTTTTCATATTATTGTGCGATGAAAATGTTGCCGGTACAATTTGTTGTAGGTATATACAGAGCTCGAGCAAAGAAATCAACTCAGGTTAACGCGAGAAGACAGTAGGTTCCTCCGAACAATGAATAAAAAGACTGTATATAATACCTTAGATATTTGAGCTAGAAGTGGCCCATTTGGTTTAACAGATAGGAGGTTGAAACGGATGTTTTTTTGACCTTTTCTCCATGTTGCACAGTCAAAATTATAAATAAATTGATGAATGAAATTTGATAGAGTGAAATTAAATTGTGCAAACAATGAAAAATCAACATAATGAAAACCTCGTGAAGATCAAAACCAATAATATAACCCGTAATTTTCTAGCGTGACGATAATCGACCAATCTCTATGGAAATTGGAAATTTTCCAGTGGAAAGCGAAACAAAACGCAAGCCAAAATTCATCGCTTTCGCTTTGCAATCGGATTCGTGATCGGAGTCCCCGATTCTTCCCGAAAGATGTTATAGAATAGCAAACCGAACAAAGCGTCCCATAACGAACGTCATTGTTTCGCTTTGAGCTTATAGAATCCGCCCCCTGGTCTGGAAATATGTTTTTCCTGTTAAAACACTCCAAATTGCAGCACCCTGTACACAGGTAGGAATATTATGAATTGATTCTAAGTTTATTGGGAATAGCTATTCATGTACCAAGGGGATTATGTAGATTATAATGCCCGAAGGCGAAACTAGCCCGAGGGATATATTTCGCCTGAAAGGCATTATAATCTGAAAATCCCCGTGTTGCATATAATGCTTTATTTTCTACTCAACACAATGTTCTTTCATGAATTTAGTATCAAAGAAAATCAGTTAAACTTGTGTGACGGAATATTGTTTTGTATTTTGACATGTACCTGTACCTAGAAACGAAATAAATTAATATCTATATCTATAAACATCTCATAAGGCAAGGCAACGGTGGTCGTGTGGGTTAACGAGCTCGACTATATGGGAAACGTTGATGGTAGACCGGGTTCGAATCCTGGCCAGACCGAAAATTATTTTCGGTCGGCCATTTAGTGGCTGCCTAGGGTAAAATGCAAATTAATGAAACAACAACAACAAAAACACCTCACGGTATTATAAGCGGGCGTTATAGATCATAACGCCCGCAAAAGCGGGTGTTAATGCCCTCAGGTTGTTATAGGTATGTTAACATATTTCGTTTCCTAGGTATCAGGGATTTATAATAGTTAAGTAGAAAATAAAATATTATAAACTTGACAATCATAAATTGTATAATTGACAACTATATCATGCTAGGAAATCACCTTTTATTACATATAAAAAAATAGATAAAACGGGTAACGGACTCTTCACTTCACAAGGTACTAAAATAATGAAATTTCAAATTTTTTCATGTGTAGATTTTGTCTTTAAACGATCATTACCTCAAAGTTTTTGAATGAGGCTGGCAAGATCCCCAGACCTAAAACCTTTCGATTTTTTCCTATAAGGGGCACATATTCAACAAATCATCACCAGAAATTCTTCACGATTTAATTTCCAAAATTAAAAAGTAGTTTTTCCTATACAGAATCTTTTCGAATCAAACTTCCACTCTGTACTTTTAATAGGTGTATGTTCTTACCCGTTGCTCATAATATTCAATAGATCCGGTTTCATATCCTCGACAATTCTAATTAACAATTTCGGATCAATTGGCGGTTCGTAAAATATTTCGTCGACTACATTGTTCAAACAGTTGGAGTATGCAGTCGAGACTAGTACAAAAGCATCCATTGATTCGGCTCCTTTCATTAAATCCAGAATTGCTGCCGTGCCGTTTATGTTCGTCATAACGGCTTCGACCAGGTTGGAATCCATGTTTAGGGAAGCGCCACAATGAAATACTATATTGACCTGAAATCGAGCTTTAGTAGTGTTCTAATTATTATTTAAACTTACGTTTTGTTGGATCAGGATTTGATCTTCTTGTGAAATTCCTAGGTGCTTTTTTTGTAGATTTCCTTCAATTGGGTGTAGCTTTTCCGAAAATTTTGCTTCAGGTATACGACAAAAAACCTATAAAATGATTTTTTTAAAGAAATTATGCTTGCAATCAAAAATCCTCACTTGTTCTTCAAACATTTTCGAGATTCGTTTGTGAAATGCAATATCCTGCTTCGATCTTACTATGAGGAAAATAGTTTTAACGTTTGTAGTCCTGAGTAATTTTTCGATTATCAATTTTCCTAAATATCCAGTTCCTCCGGTAAGCAGGACATTTTTATTTTCGTAAAATTCCTTAATTTTACTTGCCATCTAAAAATAGAACTTAAAGTTTTAAATCAATAATTGATTTTCTTTGTTTTTAAAGTTTAATCTTTCTACTAAATAGTTTTCCATTTCACAGATGCATTTTCGCTGTAATCTTGTTCGAAGGATCTATTTTCTGAAGGGTATTTTCTATTTAAAACGACTGAATTATATAAAATTCTATAAAAGAATATTGTCTGTGCCAATTCTGTTTAAGTTCTTAATCTAATTTTTTGATTAAATTATTGTTACTTACCTTAAAAATATAAGTTTTTCAACTCTTCACACAGAAAACTAAAACTGTCCAATGGGAAAAGTCGATTGGACGGCACGGAACGAGTTTATTTATCTATTATGGATTTAATTAAATATTAAGAAGACTCAGTGTATAGCGGGGAGAAAACTTTCCCCATCAGGGTATTTATGCCATATTGATTGAATTCGTGGATGATTTATTTAAAAATTTTCTCGACCGGCAAATACAGGGTGAATCAAGTTCAGGAACGAATATTTTATCAAGTAGTTCTCATGTTATTTATGAACAAAATAAACTTTCCATTGTGGGGTTACCTTTTTCAGGAATACCTCTCGATAAATCTTCGCAGAAATGTACTGAATTTACGGTTAACATTTTCTGCATATGCCTTTTGGACTGACCAACGCGCCAGGTAAATTCCTCAGCAGGCTGAAAATTCTCCATGGAATCAACTTTCTTTGTTAAACTTGTAACGTATCTGAAAATTTGGCAGTCAGTAGCTTCATCCCCATGCCTAAATAATAGCCATCATTTCAAACTATTTTGAAGTCATCAAATTGAAGATCCTTATATGCATTAAATTTATCCTATATACCTACGCGTCATATTATTGTCAGCATCGCCACTCTTGCACGGAAATTATACGAATCCTGCTGATACGAAGTTACTGGAGTTTATTCGATTAACTCTACCATTTTGTATTTCAGTCAAAAGCCCAGGAAATTCACAACTGATTACGTTCCTAAATACAATGGGGATATTACTTACGATGCACTCTCGTATAATCGAATTTTAATTTTCCAGTTTGTAAGGAATTTCGTTGATCCTACATAAAACTTGATTAATAATTTCTAGTACAATTCTTCTACTAGATACTTTTACACAACTTCCGTTTTAATTAATTTGAAGTTCTACTTAGCGAAGCGCCAAAATATAATAAAACAAATTTTGTTCCGATTCGAAAAATAAAGCCCTGCGAAAAACAATTAGGACTTCAACAAAAGACAGGAAAAGTGCAAACTGGAAATTGGAAAATATCAGACTTTGTTTCCAATTTTCGTCCCCTCTATTGTTGAATTTTTTTCGGGTATATATAAAGCCATTCGATGAGTCTATTGTCCTTTGCAGAAATAGAATAAATTTGATTTTTTCAATTATCTGTTCCATTGACGAGAGATTTTGACAATTAGTTTTTATTATTTTCTCAATGTTACACTGACCTAATTTTGCATTCTACTCTAACATTTTCAAAAATGATTGATGATGGCTTTTTCTGAAAACTAGAAAATTCTTTGTATGTATAGTCGAAAGCGAAAAACATTTTCTTATAAATAAAAACTACGTTGATATATTCTGTCAGGAAAAACTCTCTTAATATCGCCTCTGTAAACGATTCCTAAACAAAGATTCATTCATCTTTGTCATTGAAAGTTATTGGAAAAGTCACTCAGGGTGTTTTCGAACAAGACTTTGAGGTTTTGAAAGGAATCATTTTCTCCTCTTTCTGTCGATACAAGCTTTAAAATATGGATGGCTTTGTTTTGCTAGGATTTCGAAGAGAAAATATGGGACAATGCGATATGAATTCCTAATTTTTGTTTTCGTTAGGAAAATATTAATCGCCATATGCTTAATTAAAAACGAGTCATGATTATGAATGGTAGATGTCAACTCATACCCCTGGTATATTTCAATAAGATAAAATGTAATATCACAGCGTGGAAAGTGTAATTTGTTTCCAGCAAAACCATTAGTAAATTACCAAGACCCTTATTATCACTACCTCTGTGCAAAATTTCGAAATTTAATAATGAACCAATTTGAAGCAGCTGCTGCAAGTTCATTATCTAATTGGGCACACTATATAATATAATTTTATTTATAGAATTTAATAAAACTTCCGGAGTTGAAATAATGAACTAACTTAAGTATTATTCATTTCTTGTAGTTTTAACATTGAGACAAGCTCTCAAAAAGATCAGAAGATTCGAAATTAAGGCATTTGCAATGAGAGCTTTTATTTAGGCATGGGATGAAGTTTTCGAGTGCCAAATTTTCAGATAGTAACAAAGAAAGTTGATTCTATGGACAATTTTCATTAAATAGCAGCCCTTTGAGCCTGAGGAAAAGTAGCTGGTGCATTAGTCAATCCAAAAGGCATATGAAAAAAAATATTTCTACCTGGAACCGTAAATGCAGTAGGTGAAATGCCGACTCAATATCCAAGAATATGATAAAAATGATCTCCCTGAGTCGATCCAAAATAGCCGAAATCCTGGATGTAGCCAAAACATATAGATTAAAGTTATAACGTACTTATTTTGGCAATTGCCTAATTATACTGCTACGGCTAGTCAGCTTCAGTTCGGAGGCCATGGGTCTATGGGTTCATTGTATACATCTTACCTTTGGGCGCCACCAAGTTAATTGTGACTTAACTAGGAAGATAACTTAATGATGTTATAAACAAAACCTGTGCAATTGGAGAGCTTATTAATAAAACAACTAATTAGGTACAATAATGTATCTGGCTTCTTTATTAAAAATAATAACAAAATATAGGGATAGCCAGGAGGTTATTAAAAATGTGTATACATTATGGCTTGTACCAATTTATAAATATTTGATTATCAAAAGAATGAATGTAAATAATGCATATATAAATATGAATTTTAAATAAACATGACTAAAAACCTTTTGGTATTTACACTTGTGAGAGATAAGAAAAATTCAGTATGGGTTACACTTTACCATCAGGCAAATTAAACACAGAAAGGTGAAAGTTATAGTTAGGGCAACCTCAGGGTAAAATTCTAGAATTTTATTTAAGGGGCACTTACCGAACGTAAATCAGTATCAAGTGATTTATATAAGATTTGCCTAAATAGTAAAAAGTGCAACTTACATGTGTACAAGTGTTGATTATCTTCAAAGGTGTGTGTAAATCCAGAAGTTTTGAAGGGATATTATCTACAGGTTCGGTCTCAGTGTAGATAGACTATGGTATGGTAAGTGAGTCATAGTCATGAGTCCTATCCACGTGGTATCTGTTTTACGTAGAACTCAATGTGGTTCCACCAGAGTGCTACCAAGAGGGTTGCTGAAGGGAGGCTACCAAAGCCAACTAAGGGCAATCTAGATCTAGTCTAGAATTTCTTTCTAGGAGCTGTCCAACTATAGCCTAAGACTGTCTAGCTACAGCCTAGCACTAGGATTGTCCAACTATAGCTTAAGAGTAGGATTGTCCAACTATAGCCTGAGACTAGGACTAGGAGTAGGATTGTCCAACTATAGCCTGAGACTCGGACTCTATAACGATGTTCGTATAAAAAAACAAATCGAGCCCCAAATATTAGAAATAATCTTACCTCAAATTGAGGGATACTCTAGACCAAAGGTGAAGTCTTAAACTTCCAAATGCTGCTCGGAACAGTCCTATTAAAAAAAATGGAATACGTGTTGTAGGTTAATATTTCCTGAAGAAAATCTCAAACTTACCGAAACAGAATCCAAAAATGACCAAGGGACGACTCTAGACAATTATCAGCAAGAAATTAGTCTAAAACTTGAGCTCCCTGGCACAAAATTCCAAAAAGTCTCGCCCCAAAAATAATTAGGGCCGAGGCCCGAGACCGGACGACTACTCAGCGTGAGGTCGCAGATCAAAAGGGCAGATTCTTCATTTAGAATTTAGATTTCGGAAGAAGACTTTCATCTGTCAAACTTCTAATTTTGACATTGAAGAAAATTATAGAAAAGGACGTGTTCAGTTTCACCCCAAAAGTACGAACTGAGAATCGGTTGTGTAAAAAATGACTGGTGAATGTTGAAAAGTGCCTATAGAACATATATCAAAAAGTAGAACAGGTCTAAAGAAAACGCCTAGACAAAACAGCTGTTCAATGACATGATGGAAATGAAAAATCAAAAAGTAAACAACAATTATTATCATAACCTCAGATTATTTATTTATCAATTAGAGATGTTGAAAAAATCTCTCCTTTTCCTAAGATTCTAATCAATAACAGCGGGCCCTGCCGTACTGAATCAAACCTTCCTAGATCAATTAACCAAACTTGCAAACCTGAACCAAAAAAACTTCTAGTAGAAGGCAGTACTCAAGGTAACAAAATCTGGGCACAGAAAAGATAGTTGTCTCTTCATTTATTCCTTTATAGTTCTATACGGAATCATATCTACTAAAGCAAAACAAGGTAGCTTATTAGCCAAGAAATTGAAAACGTTACAAAGTTTAACTTTGAGGATAGCAGTATAATGGATCAGATGAAGTATCTTTATCCTACTCTATTCATAACTACCTCCTAACTTTTGAAATGTTCCTGATCCTAATCCTGATATCATTACAGGAAAAAAAATTTCTTCTATGAAAAGATTATCTATCAGCTTTATGACATTATAAATCTAGAGAATATAAATCTATAAGTACACGCTTGATTGGTTCTAAAAGTCCACTTCATCGATTCGCAAATAGAAAAAAATAATCGTTATTGATTGCCAAAAAAATGGCACACAAACGCAAACTATTGTAAATCAACCCTAAAGCGTATTCACAAAGCGGAAATCGCGGTAAAAATGCATCTTGCATTTAAAATTCGCCTCTTCAATACATTAAGCAGTCATTTGCAGTCAGAACTGGGGGGCGAGATCGCTGATATATGCGATATGAAAAGAATTTCATATATACGCCGCATTTCTGGGTTAAGTATTGCACCAATAAAACCTTTAACGGTTAAAAATATCGGTGGGGAGTTATAAAAGGAACTCGGAGTTTTGTAATGTAATTTATTTCTGGGTTATTAAAAATTTTCATTGCAATAGATTACTTCAATTTATAGAAAAATCTAATGTCTTATTTGAAATTTCTATTATTCGTTTTCATTTCGATTTTTGTAGACATTGGCACGGTGATTATTTCATCCTTTACTTAATTGTTACAAATAAACTCAGTTATTCGTACTTTAAGACAAGAGACCCTGTAGGGTCGTGGCATTCAAAAATAAAGATAACGTGTAGCCCTTTTATGAGCAAATGAAACCACTCAAATTCCAACAAACAATAATTTTATTTTTTTACAATGTAAGTAACAATGTTACTTCTCTTTAAAATTTGACAGTTAACAGTTTGGTTGTTCTGGTGAATCTGACATAATATGTACCTTTCCAATCCGGAGCTCTTCAATGGATGTTGGGGTTTCACTTTCGTGAACTGGAGCTCTTCGAGTTGTTTCCTGTATCCAGGCCCCCAATTCTTGAATTATCTCGCATACGAAAATTGATATGAATTCGAATGTTTCCTATTCAATTTACGTTGCTGTCATTCGAATTCGAATCAACTTACGTATGCGAGAATTTTCAAGAATTGACCCGCAGGTAAGAGGATAGATTGCTGGTGTGACGTCACTCCAGCTGATCCAGACTCCAAATAGTGATCTTTATGTCGAGTAGGTACCCAGACAAGAATAGGGCAGTATCAGGTCCACCAAGATTTGGAATATTAAATCCCTAAGTTCTGTCAAAAAGCAAGTGTCTTGCAAAGAAGATTTAAATTGAAATTAGTTTATTATAAAACTATTTTTGTGCAGACACTCCTTTCCAACAGAATCAGGTAAGTATGAGCAACTATTGCAAACAAGATTAGGGATAGATGCTCGTTATAATTGAGCAGAATGCTGCTTTTCTAGCAGTCGCACTAAACAGGCAAAATTTTAAAAAAATGTAGGAATAATTGAATCAGATAAAAAAAAATAAAAAAAAAAATCTCTAGATTTTCCCCAAATAGATAGATTTTCCTTCTAAGTTAAGGTGCGTACTACCTACTACCAATAGAGTTACTACAAGATAAAGCTGAGGATGAAATAAATTAAATCCAGGGATTTTCAAAATTCTGAGATGTTTTAATTAAAACCTTTTTTTTTACCTATCCGGATTTCTATTTTAAAATTTCAGCCTTTCAGCGCTCTTCTAACTCGAGAAGATGATTGAAGGAGTCAAACAGTAAATGGCTATACAGGCCTCTGCCTGGATTCAGTAAAGAGTTGATAGGGATGGACACACAAATTTGGTTTGCACCGACTCTAATTAGAACAATTGGTCCAAGAATCCCACCCTAAGTTCGCGTTCACATTGACATCGCTCGAGCGGTGAGCGTTGTGCGATGCCGCTGTAGCGATGCCCAAAAATAATTTTAACATTAGATTTCAAATGAATACGTTAACACCACGCGACACGCCGCCTCAGTGTGAACTTGTTCATTTGAAATATAATGTTAAAATCATGTTTGGACATCACTATACAGCGGCATCGCGCAACGCTCACCGCTCGAGCGGTGTCAATGTGAACGCGCTCTAACAATTGATTCTGAAAACCAGAGCAGCAGTACCTAGTTATTAGCCAAAACTCTGAATTGACTCACCTCAGCAAAACGTGGGACCACCAATCACAAAATAAAAGTACACAATTAGATAATAGTTATTTACATTACAAGTGCGTTTATGAACATGATTACAATAACAACTGTGAAAGATTAGAACGACGAGGTCGTAGACCGAGTCGTTCTAATTATACGAGTTTTGTAGTTATGTTTAAACGCACGTGTGATGTACAACGTTTTATTTACAAAGCGAAAAATAAGAATGTTTATTTCAATTATTTTCGTTAATCAGTCTAGCTTCATTTTACCTTTACACGTTTAACTTTGACATTTGTCAAATCACCAAAAATAGTTGTGTTATGAATTCATAACCTAGTCCATAACACCACTGGTTATGTTATGAATTCCTAACCTAGTCCATAACACTACTGTTCTGTTATGAGTCTCATGCATATAAGTAAAAAATTATATAACGCGTGTACTCCATTTACGCAATGAGAGGCGTTTGATGCAAAAATGAGTGAGATGGAAATATCATTTCTGCATAAGTCTATCTTGTAGTTCGGTCCGTCAAATCTACGCATGCCTATAATTATACAGCACTCATTGGTCGTCGAGCATCGTCCGTTCACTACGAAAACGAGATTATCGATCGTCTGAAAACCATGCTTACAACCCACCAATCACCTCAACTGCATTCAACGCATGCGCACTAGACCAAACCAGGCTGAGCGATAGACTTATGCAAAGTTGATATATCTGTCTCACACATTTTTGCATCAGGGTACAGCAAGAACACGCGTTATATAATTTTTTACTTATATGGTCTCATGACATAACTCAAATACTAGAAAAATGGTTATGTAAAAACGTCATAACCAAATGCTTGTAGATAAAAAAATTAAAATATAATATTTATATTTCAAAGGTAAGATTTATCAGGTAAAAACTTAACAGTGATATGATAGTATACCAATGAAGGTAAAATAAATTGAAAAATATTAAGGGAAAATCTAGAAATCTGAAGAAAAAAATTACAAAAAATGAAATTGACTCGCCTGTTCAGTGGGTCTGCCAGGACAGAAACCATTTTAGAACCTAAACTCTCCAGGAAACCAAGCTTGTGTTTTTTTATACTTAACTGCGTAGTAACCATCGACCAATTAGAAGACAACACTCAACACACACAAAAGAGCGTGCTCACTTCATCAATGAAATAACACGCTGATTAAAAGGGAATAGATAAAAACACACTACAAATATTTTAATTGTTTACAAATTACAATAATTTAAATTGGGGTTATGTTGAAAACAGAAAACCACTAATTAATTAGGTCATTAAGCCAAAAATAATTTTGAAATTTCATCGTTTTAATATCTACTGTGGTAGCTACCTCATGATTTAGATTTAGAAGACTCAGGTATACGATGTCAATTGAGGCTATTTATTCTTAAATGGACATCAATGCAAAATATCAACTAACTATACTATTTTTCTCATCTTGAGATAAAAAAAAACTTCACATGAAGTATTACTGGATCTAACACATATAATCCTTTGGGTATTTGCTTCAAACTTCTTTTTCTAAGTTTGAGAATAAAATAAAAAAAAAACCGATTGGCATATTCTCATAGAATGAAAAGCTGACGTTTTTGCCCATCAAGTCCCTATTGTGCAAAAGGCAAAAAAATCATATTATCTATGTGTGTGTCTATTGATGGTGATTTGAACTTTTTTGTTCCAGCAGTTTTAATATAAAAAATATATGTGTTACCAGATCTGGTACACAATGGGAGGTTTTAATTGGAAACCGGCAAGTAGGTAATTAGTTCCAGAAAACCGCTATACAAACTATAATTTATATAAATTAACCAGACAAAAATAAACCCTAACGATAACGGTTGAGCCAGTTGAGAAGAAAGTACATGAAAGAGGCGGCAAAATATAGAGGACGATAATGGCGTTAGGTAGAATGTTGGTTGGGATCAAAAAATATAACGCTGAAATTGTTCGTCTGAAAAATTTATTTCAAAAGTCGTTTTCATTAGAATCTCCGGTGCGTAAACATCGTCTTTGCACCGCATCCGGAGTAGCAATTTTCAAATCGTAAGCCCATCCGATTCTAGCGAAGAAGTTCAACAAATGCAAAGTCAAGTTTAAAGTGCCGAAATCGGATGCCCTGTAGTCCCATGGAAAGGCGTGATGGAAATTGTGCCATCCTTCGCCGATACCTACGAAAGACACAAACGAATTTTGTCTGGCACCGATATTTCTAAAAAAATAAAACAAAAATTTGGCTTGTATGTGCAGATTTTTTTTTACCTATCATATGGCCTATTTCCATACAAATGTGCGGCGGAATTTACTAGCCACGTCACGTGCAAGCCGGCTAATATACGGAAAACATTAAGGGAATAGGCACTTTTGAAAGTTTCATTCCAAATTAGCATGGGTAGGGCTGTAGGTATGATGATGGCCATTAATACGCCCAAGATGCTGATGTATTTGTGCTGAAACCTGAAATATGTATTTTATCATTTTTCAATTTTTCCGCTGTTTTTTGTCAAGGACTACAAATCCTGAAAATTTCGGGTAGTATGGATGACTTATCCTATTCCTATTCTACTTAATTGAGTAGTAATAATGGCAGCAAATTTCCAGTTAAGTTCCCTAAAATTTTGTAGAGGACGCGAGTGAACTTGGAGTGTTTTAAATTTTGGCGGGAAATGTCAATAGTTACAAATTGTTTAAAATGAGAAGAAGGAAAGATGAATACATATGAACAATGGACAATAAAGAGGTTAAAATATCTTCCAAAGCGTTCAGTGGCCCTTAGAGAATATTTTTGAAAGTGTCAGCGTCAGCTTGTCTTGAAACCACACATCAAACTTAACTTTTGAGGTTAAAATTACAATCGATTATTTACGCGCCAAAATTTAAAAAGCTCCAAGTACAGAAGCGCCCTCTTCAACTCAACTGTCAATATTACATGCCTTTAGGCTAACATTAGGAAAAAATACCGACATCAGGTAAATTTTCAAATATTACGTTACATTATTCCACGAGCTGCGTTAATTAGAGAAAATTATAAAACTTGTTTAGTCATTTCTCTGAAAAAAATAAAACAATACAAAGTAGGTACAAAATAGAAATTGCACCGATTATTGACGATTTTAATTCGAAATTTCCATTGAAAACAATTTGCTTTCTAAGCAATTATTTTGTACCTACTTGCTCGTGCCTTAATTAGAGAATATTAAGAAACACTAAACAATAAACACTGGGAAATTTTTCAGACAACAAAAACTAAGTTACCAAAGGATGACGTTAACAATGACAAGTTAAATGTAAATTTAGTATATGAAGTACACTGGGATGTTGCGCGCGCCTCACTTAGACGATACTTGATCGTATCAACTGTTGAAGAGGTAGACACGGTCCCAGTGGATTTGGATCAAATCTGGCGGAAGCGCCAGGGTGTACAGAATTAGACAGCTGATTCTAGATTTTACAGTGCTATTCGAATGAATCGAATGGAATGGATTACGGATATATAAAGGCCAGTATTAGTTAGTAGCTAGTTTTTAAGATTGACTGTGATACGATTTAGATAGTGAATTTTGTAAAAGTTAAGTTTTTTCAGTTAATTAGTCTCAGAGTGTGAGCCAAGATTTCTGTCACGCTACCCACAGCCGTGACAGTATCGACTGCTTATCCAACAGTAGGATAGGTTCTAACATCAGGCTGGCTGCCAACATACTTGGTCTAAGTTCTTATCCAAATGCACTTGGACAGTGTCAACCGGACTTAAGTCTTTATTAGTCACCTACCTTATTCAATGATTCTTATTCTGGGTATTCTATATGTTGCGGAAATAACCCACAACAGGTTTAAATTTTATTATTTCTAATTTAATATATCTCGATCTCTATTATTTATCATAAAAATAATATTTTAAAAATAGATGCTATTGCTGGACTATTTTATCCTTTGAAACGGTAAAATTACAAGTTTCTTGATTACCTTATAAGGCAGTGAACCTTTTTCGCCGTGTGATTGGTCAGCCGCCATTCAAAACCCCTAGTTTTTTGCGACCTGCTCCCTGGCAGAGCTAGTCGACGTACATTCTTTAGTACTATTAGCTATTAGAACAAGCGAAGAGTTCGCACCCTCGCGCCCTCTGAATGCTCTCCAGGAGCAAAACCCCCAAAAACCCCCGTTAGTACGCGCGATTTATAGTAAAATACTAATCTCTGTGTTTCAAGGCCTGACATGGTCTATATTATTGATTAAAATTCATGTAATTAACCCCTAATTGTTGCAAGTCACCTCGGACGAGCAAAATTCTCTCCTACGCTTGTTTTTGGCTCTATCTCTCTCACTCTTGACGGGCTCCAACGCACCTGGGCTGGGACTCTGTAACGGATAGAGATATTTTCTCTATCTCTATTGACGAAGTCCCCTCTCTATTGATTTCGAAAAGAGAGAAGCAGACAGCAAGTGCCATAGCGATAGGGATAGTAATCTCTATCCGTTACAGAGTTCCAGCCCTGTATATCATTGTGTTTTCTTTTCATCTTAGTGGAAAATTCCCTAGCTGCCAGTGTGAATAGTGGTAATAAATGGATAAATAATCGCCTTGTGGATTTATCTGCATGAACCGGATTAAGCAAGTAAGACCGTTACAATTTCTCTAACAGTCGAACAATAAATACTGATTATTGGTTTTCACACTTGTGAAATTAACATTTGTACATTTGTATATAGAAACTGAGCATATAAAATATATATTATGCAATGATCATGTAATGATAGCCATTAATACACGTACATGTTGTAGGATACGAAACGAGCCGCAGGCGAGTTTCGTATATAACATGCGAGTGTATTAATGGCCATTACATGAGAGTTGCATACACTATTTTTTCTACTGCCATTGATAAAACTTATGATTTTTAGATATGTCAACATTATGCTTAACTTTGAATAGAGATTTTATAATTGAGTGATGCGTCCATACAGTTGAAGGTTTCATTTTTTGTTGTAATTCTTCAAAATATACTATCAAAACATTTTCTGAGAAGGACGATGTGTTTTTGGTGTTTCCAATCCATAAATTGTCCATATAATTTTTCGTAAATTTTCTTGGACTTGTCCGGTAATATATTTATTACCTGCATTTGTCGCCCTTTCTGTAATTTCTAGAGATGTTAGTTAAAATTCTTCGTTAGCACTCAATATTTCCATAATAATACTTTAGGTAACTTTTAATAACAATTTGAAGTATTTTTTTTTATAAAATTATTATTTTTCGCTAAATTACCATGGAAAAACTATAAACAGAGTGCTGTCAACATTCAAAAAAAAAATAATGGCTGAGTTATCCAATTCCTTAATTCTTAATATTTGTCCTTAATTCTTAATTCTTAAAAAGTTCAATTTATTTAACATTGGTGTTTTTAAAGATTAAGAATTAAGAACAAAAATTAAGAATTAAGGAATTGGGTAACCCCGGGCTATTTCAAAATTTCTTAACGGCTGGCGCCATCTATTGACATTTTTTTATAATGAAAAAAGTAAAAATTCTTCCTTATCACTCATTATTTCCGTAATAATTATTCTTTGTCCCAAACTTTAGATAACTTTTAAACAATTCGAAGTATTTTTTATAGTCATCAAAATAATTGTTTTACGCAAAATTACCGTTTAAAATGTTTAACTTGTCTTAACTGGTAGTGCCATCTATCTACATTGTATGATATTAAAAATCAATATTATAATGAAAATCTGTATCATAATGAAGTTCATTATGATACAGATTTTAATCGTTTAATAGCGTATTATGAAATGTCAGTAGAAAAAGACTTTTCTTGCACATATTGTTTACAGACTTCCGCAGAAAAATGCTCAAACAAAATCACTACCGAAACCCTTCCAAATCTTACACATGGAAACATTTATCTTCGAAAAACAGAATTTCTTAACAATAATTGACAAATTCTCTGAATATGCTCAAGCATTTCCCTATGATATAAATGCTAAATCAGTTTGCCACAAATTAGTCCAGTTTTTCTTCTTTGTAAGATGCCCCGAATCAATTGTTACTGATAACGGAACCGAGTTTAATAATGAACTTCTTAAAGTGTTACTAAAAGCTCAGAAGATAAATATACACTTTACAACTCCTGGACATCATAAATCAAACTGACCAATTGAGAGATTTCATTCTACTATAATAGAACACTTACGATTATTGCGAACTAAAGACCCTAATAAACCAATTAATGAATTGATGCCGTACGCAATAATAGCATATAATAGTACTACAAGTTCTGTAAAGAAATATTCTCCTCACGAACTCATAATAGGATATACCAATACTCGTGATCCTTTCGATTTAATATCCACAACTTTCTATGCTGACTATGTGAACTCACACAAGAATAAAGTGGACGTTTAATATAAAAATATCCTAGGAAACACGGAACGAGAAAAAGAACGCGTAATAACGAAAATTAACACAAAAGGTGACGAACAAAGTCAATTCAAAATAAATCAAACGGTATATAAAAAACAACCGTCACGTTCTCCCAAAAGTAAACAAAAATATTATGGACCTTTAAACATAATAGAAATCTTAGAACATAACCGTGTGAAAGTACAACACATAAAGAACCCACGAAAAGTAGAAACAATCCATATTAAGGAACTGAAACCACCTCTTGTTACAGATACACTTGTACAACAGGATACTCCTACGACACTCCTAGATACAACTACCTAAACCAAAACCAAGGAAATTAGGTAATGCCCAAAAAGTATCTAATCGTTGGACATTCGTTCAAATATTTTACAAAGCAAACTTAATTAAAGAATTCGATATTCTATCAAATCAATACCAATCACTCGAAAAAACTCTAAATAATAACACAGGATTTCAGGCAGAATATTTTAAATCACAAATACTTATTAATAACCTGGAATCGAAAATCACTAACCAAATAAATCAATTATTACCAATCAATTCTCTTAAGAGACAAAAACGAGGTTTAATTGATGGATTAGGTATCATAGTTAAAAGTTTAATTGGAAACTTAGACCAACAAGACGCTCTAAGATATGATGCTGAAATTGATATCCTTGAAAAGAATCAAAATAATGAAAAATCAGCCATGGACAAACAATTGATACTTCTTCACAAGACGATTGACAATTTCCAAGAAATTACGCAAAATATATCTTATAATCAAGAAATCTTGAAAGATCGAATTAACAATATTATTGAAACTATTAATTGCTTACAAATTGAGATGGCAACGGCTCGTGAATATTTTAAAATTCAAATAGTTTTAACACAAATTTCTATGATGTATCAAAATATCTATGATATATCTACTAAACAAAAGTTGTTCTTACTTTACTAGAGCATCACTATACAAATCCGTCATATCAATAGTTTTGCCTTTGGCCTCAACTGCGGGATGTTTCTTGACCAAAAGCCAACCAATATGCGAGAAGAAAAACCCTCTTTTTGCATTATGTGGATCCGCTTCTGTTTCTTGATATTTGTGATGCACTCTGTGGTCTCTCGCCCAACGTATCACGGAATTCTACGAAAAGAAGAGCATGAAACTTATTATAAATTGAATTTTATAATTCACCTCATAAGATATCGTATGGCATATTATCAAAAATATTCTTAGGGGTAATTTGGCTTTGTACGATCGATGGGACCAAAGTCTGTGAGCTCCTCCTGTTATTCCGAATGCTGACAGCATATAGAGTCCAAATGCTTATGGGGAAATATTTTAATAAAAATAAATAAATTGAGTAATCCTTACCGTAAATTATTGTGTCCACTTTAGCTGCAAATATTGTCAGGTAACAACCGTAAACTCCAACAAGATGCAACGAAGTAAATAATACGACATTACTCCATACGATTTTATAAGTTACTTTCGGATTTTTATTTTCATTAAATTGTAGTGCAGAAGAAAGATTTTCTGTTATACAGCTAGCCATATCTAACAATCTATAATTATTAGGTACTAAAGGAAAATTGTCAATAAATTGCTATCTGCATGAAAATGTTTTTCATTTCGCTTGACTTAAAGTTCAATATACCTACTTACGACAATAGTCAAGAATATGGATAATTAAACGCACATTGCACTTGATGTTCATATAAGCAATTCAAAAATTTTGTAACTTGAACTTGGGATATTTTTTTGTTTTTGTAAAAATGCTCTCTTTGTTCTTTGTTGTACCTGGTGAGCACGATTATAGTTCAGTTGTATTATCAAACTTTTAAAACACCAATAATTAACATTTCAACGTTTATAAACTACAGAGTGTTCTCATGAAAAGATTTTGGACACATAAAAATTACGTCAGATTTGAAATAGGTATCAGAAACATGATGTTTGTTTTGGTAAACTTGTTGAGATTTCTGAGACAAAACCTGCTGGATGATTGCTGGAAATTTGGGAAAGGAAAAAGATGGATGAAGAATAGGATGAGAAACGTATGTACAGGTCTTAATACGAAAGGAACTTTAAATCAAGAGAGGAAGGGTAATACATAGATATTGTCCCTCCTTGTATATCATATACCAGATCGATTGGTTAAATAAATATTCATTGATTGTTTACATAATGAATTGATAGGGAAGAGTTCAAAAGGTGAATTGCATCTATTGAATGTAAATGAAATGTATTTTATTGCACTCTTTGTTATTAAACTTGAAATCCTTGAGAAAAAATCGGTAAAGAATCCTTATCTCCTTTCTCGCCTGGTTTCAAACAGAGGAGGCTTTGTGTCGGTGGAAAATTCCCTTTTATGTGCGATTTGTCTTGCTTTCCATTTTCTCGATGCAACTTTTTCCTCGGCTTTTTATCCAGTTTAAAGCCTCGCGCGGCTTATTTTGCGTACACAACTTCCGAAAAAAAAAAAAAAACAATATAAATTAAATTGGGCGTTCTGTAAGTTGTAAGTTGAGTCGAAACAAAAACGAGAAATTTCCCTTAGCGGGCATACATTTTGTTTCCAAAACTTTAAGATACCTTCGCTAGGGAGGCGAATTTCCTTGGACTAAATAACTTCGAGAACACTCTGCATGTTTATAATACGTGGCATAATAAGCATAAAGTACGTGACATGATGAAAATCAGTTGAATCCTAGGGATTTAAGGTCACGCTACACCGGGAATATCTAGATTAATTTGCGTAGAAATGATACTAATTAGTAAACGGATATTTTGATTTGAGAAATCTAGACTTTTTGAAATTAAAAATTATTCTTACCACTCTGAGCCCATATTAGATCAAAATAATTTAGAGTGACCTTTAGAGAAGTTGCTTGAAATTCCTTCAAAGCAACTCCGAACACTTATGAGCTACTTTGTGAATGATTTCAACTTCAAATTTTAAAGAAGTTGCTTCAGATCATTTAATAGTCAATTTCGACTTATTAAAGTTACCTAGGTAATCTTTTTTCAACGTGAACAACCGCGCTGTCGGAGGCTCTTGTGGAACTTATCTTAAGTTGGCTCAAATCAAGGTTCCTAAAGCTAATAGGTTGTCTGGTAATGAGTAACTTGATGACGCATCCTGGAACTCTGTAACAGATAGAGATCGTTATCCCTATCGCTATGAAACTTGCTGTCTTCTTCTCTCTTTTCGAAATCAGTAGAGAGGGGATGTCAATAAAAATAGAGAAAATATCTCTTTTCGTTGCAGAGTCCCAGCTCTGGGGTGCCTTATGGAGATTTGCAATATGTTGAGGCACCCCAGATGACGCCATAAAGTTATCAGGCAACCTCTCTCAAACAACCTTGGGCTGAAATATATATAATAATAAGATTGACCCCAAAAACCTAAAAAGCAAATCACTGATACATGGCGAGTCATTCTTTGGGTAGTTTCATGCGGATTTCTGGAAAAAAAGTAGATATGAATTGATGGAATACGCATGTACGCTAATCACAGAACTATGAACTCAAAATGTATTAAAGACTGTTTTTCCATAAGAAGACCCGATGATTATTTAGAAATGCTGTCAAATGCCAGGTACTTCACTTCTCTTGACATGACCAAATTGCCGTATCTGAGGCAGTACGAATATTTGCGTATGCCATTTGGATTGGTGAATGCTCCCGCTGTTTTCCAAAGAACGGTTTACCACATTCTAGAAACTGTCAATCATATAACTACATTAGCTTATCTTGATGACATTCTCGTGTTAAGTTTCAATTTTGATTCTGGCTTAGAAGTATTAGAAGAAATCTTTGAAGCATTTAGAATTTTTGGAGGTCAAACAAGAGTCGACCCTGTACCAAAGACCCCTGTTGAGGAATTTGTCTATTGTTGATCGCCTAACGCCAAATCTATTTTTCTCAATATATAAAGGAAAAACTAAAAAGGGACCCGCAGCCTTATTCTGTAACTTGCGACCGCAGATAATTGCGCAATAGTCGCTGTCAAGTCGCTGTCAAACTCGAGTTTTCTATCATTTTTCTATTCAAAAAAAGCAACTTGCGACCGGTTGCTAGTTGCTATGTAATTGCTGTTTTTAGAGAATAGGCCTGTCGGTACCAAAGTTTCAAGGGTGCGAAATCTACCTGCCAACAGTCGTCGCGTTAGATTTTATCGGTTGGCTGTATCAGGGGCGGAACAGGCCTTTTAAAAGGGAGGGGGGGCAGTTTAGGTTAAAGTAAGCCAGATTGGGTTAGTTTCATTTTGGCAGCTTATTGTGCAAGATACGATTTTTCGAAGGAATGGCCCATAAAAATATGAGAATGGGGAAACTGTTGAGGAGAATAAGGTGATTTTAAATAGGTAGGTACAGGGTATTTTTTTATATATTGACACCCCACCTACAGCCTTTACCTTTACAGGTAAAAAAAGGTGTAAATACAAAAGTTGAACAGTTTTCGCTGAATCTTTAGAAACCATGTGATTTTTGGTGATTAGCTGGCTGCGGAACTCGCTGCGCTCGTCCCGCAGAGGTCCACCCATAAGTTCCGCAACAATCCACTTATTTGTATTTGAACAATAACTTATTATACAGGGTGTCACGAAAGGTTTGTTACAAACTTCTAGGGATGGTAGATCTAGTAAAAATAAAACTTTTTTCTTAATAAACATGTGTCCGGAAATGCTTCGTTTTCCAGATATACAGGGTGGCCCAAATTTGAGCCTCATCATTGGGATCTTGGTAACCGTAAGAGATACGGGGTCGGTTAAATTATGACAAAGTTGCGCAATTTTATGACCAATAGAATACCGTTTTGAAACCAGAAAGACTCCGAATACTTCCGGAGATATTCGGAAAAAACCAAAATTTTGTAAAATCGTTTTTATTTTTTCCCGGGCTTATTTGAAAAGCAATTTTAAAATAAATGTCACTTCATCATTGTCACTTTTTCTCCTTTAGAAGATGGTGCTACTAAATTTAAAATTCGACGTTTCGTCTTCAGGCGGCCATCCTCAACTTCCTTTTTTTAAATACGGACCTGAATTTTTTATTTGCGATTTAGTCATCTTTGCGCATCCTAAGACCGATACTGTTTATAATTTTTTAATACCACAGCAAAAAAAGCAGGTCCGTATTTAAAAAAAAAAAATAATGATGATTTCAGAGGAACGAAACATTGGATTTTAAATTTAATACCGCCATCTTGTGGAGAAGAAAAAGTGACAATGGCAAGGTGAAATTAGTTTTCCACAATCTTTTTAAATAAAATCAGGAAAAAATGAAAACTATACGGTTTTTCAAAATTTTGGTTTTTCCGAATATCTCCGGAAGTATTCGGAATCTTTCTAGTTTCAAAACGGTATTCTATTGGTCATAAAATTGCGCAACTTTGCCATAATTTAACCGACCCCGTATCTCTTACGGTTACCGAGATCCCAATGATGAGGCTCAAATTTGGGCCACCCTGTATATCTCGAAAACGAAGCATTTCCAGACACATGTTTATCAAGAAAAAAGTTTTATTTTTACGAGATCTACCATCCCTAGAAGTTTGTAACAAACCTTTCGTGACACCCTGTATAAAGTCAGAATTTGTAAGATTATCCACTTTTTGTCAATTGGTCTTTTAACAGGAGTTAGTAATGTTACTTTACCAAACTAATAATATATTGTGTCAAGTTATTCAATTACAAACGAGTGAATTGTTGCGGAACTTATGGGTGGACCTCTGCGGGACGAGCGCAGCGAGTTCCGCAGCCATCTATTCATCAATATGTTGTTTAAGTACGATACTAACCTGACTCACTCAAATGTGAGTTATTCTCACTAGTTTTAAAACTACACATTTCAGGTGAGTATCTTATTTGAACAGTTCAACAGTATATTGGTGAGTAGATGGCTGCGGAACTCGCTGCGCTCGTCCCGCAGAGGTCCACCCATAAGTTCCGCAACAATCCACTTATTTGTATTTGAACAATAACTTATTATATAAAGTCAGAATTTGTACGATTATCCACTTTTTGTCAATTGGCCTTTTAACAGGAATTAGTAATGTTACTTTACCAAACTAATAATATATTGTGTCAAGTTATTCAAATACAAACGAGTGAATTGTTGCGGAACTTATGGGTGGACCACTGCGGGACGAGCGCAGCGAGTTCCGCAGCCATCTATTCATCAATATGTTGTTTAAGTACGATACTAACCTGACTCACTCAAATGTGAGTTATTCTCACTAGTTTTAAAACTACACATTTCAGGTGAGTATCTTATTTGAACAGTTCAACAGTATATTGGTGAGTAGATGGCTGCGGAACTCGCTGCGCTCGTCCCGCAGAGGTCCACCCATAAGTTCCGCAACAATCCACTTATTTGTATTTGAACAATAACTTATTATATAAAGTCAGAATTTGTACGATTATCCACTTTTTGTCAATTGGCCTTTTAACAGGAATTAGTAATGTTACTTTACCAAACTAATAATATATTGTGACAAGTTATTCAAGTACAAACGAGTGAATTGTTGCGGAACTTATGGGTGGACCTCTGCGGGACGAGCGCAGCGAGTTCCGCAGCCATCTATTCATCAATATGTTGTTTAAGTACGATACTAATCTGACTCACTCAAATGTGAGTTATTCTCACTAGTTTTAAAACTACACATTTCAGGTGAGTCTCTTATTTGAACAGTTCAACAGTATATTGGTGAGTAGATGGTAGAGGTCCACCCATAAGTTTCACAATAATCCATTTATTTGTACAGGATGTTTTTTTATATATTGACACCCTACCTACAGCCTTTACCTTCACAGGTAGAAGAAAGGTGTATATACAAAAGTTGTACAGTTTTGGCTGAATTTTTAGAAACCATGGTCAGAAACAAAATTTGAATGTCAGAAATGTGAAATTTTGTATACTTTCAGCTTTTTTCAACATGGATTTTAAAAATTTAGCCAATACTGTACAACTTTCGTATTTACACCTTTCATCTATCTATAGTTCGCCTTACGAGTCTAGCACTACGATGTCTGAAGGGCAAGGGGAAATAACCCATTCATTTCGAGCTTTATCATGCCTGTTATAGGTTTGCGCGCAGCGTTTTTAAATATAACTTTTTCCTTATAAATGTTGGTGTGTAACTTAGATAAATATTAAGGTATTTTCTATTGGAAGTCAAATAGGCAATATTGCAATTTTTTTATCCGCATTCTTTCCATAGTGCTAGACTCGTAAGGCGAACTTTATAAAGGTAAAGGCTGTAGGTGAGATGTCAATATATAAAAAAACACCCTGTACATAATCTTATTGATTTTGTATGAATATTTATTTATTAGAACAAAAAAAAAACAATACATAAACTCAACCACTAATGATATACTGTTTGTGGTTAAAGATCTTGGGACAAAGACAAAAGTGTGATATTTTTATAGGTTTCCAGTTTTCTAAACATTCTTAAAACTTGAAATATGGTTTTGTTTTCTTTTTCTTTAAAAATTTTATTATTTTATTTTAAAAAGTGGGGGAGCACTTGCCTCCCCTGCCCCCCCACTGTATCCGCCACTGGGCTGAATTTTTCGTACATTGCGATCATTTCTTGAGTCTAAATTTACGTAATAATTAACTTATTTATTATCTAATTTCGTCGTTTTATTTGGGATATTCCCAATCCCTTACCCGTTAGTTGTAATCTGTCCTAAATTCACCTTTATGGAAACTGTCTAGACTTTTTCTCTGGAAGAAGGAATTTAAAGGCAAATAAATCCTTATAAAAATTAAAAATGATGAGCTTATTATCTATGTTGAGTTCTAGTGATTCACTTCTCCAAAGCTCTATTGATCTTTGAGATACCTTTGAATCTATCGAATTATTTTGAACTTATCTGGATCGATTCCTGCATGTTAATGAAATTTCCGAACAGAATCATATTCCAAGGAAATATTTAAAAATATACTTTTGCAGTATCTATAATATATTTCACATAAATAAGGAAAATTCAGCAATTTGGTCGTCGAGAAAATTTATGGCCGTTCTTGAAATTACTTGGAGTGCAGGTAAAGGCCACTTGCCGCTACACGGGTAAAGTGATGTTTGTCTTAGATAAAGAAAAGCATCGCCTTTTAAGTTAATGGATCGCCATCCTTGGTTGTGGGATTATGCAAGAGAACCTAATTTAGTGATGGTTTATGGTAAAATTTATTTCTAGGCGAAACAAAAAAAAAATTAACATTGTAACTGTTTCTGTATTTTATTTATTTGTGTTATATTTATGGCAATTCTTTCAGGTACGTACGTTATTGTTTCATTGATTATTAATAATTATTTATAAATTTTAGGTACTGATTACTTTGAACTTGATGATTACTAAGAAAATTAATTATAAAGCCAAAAGTGTATCTGACATTTTATCGGTTGAGTTTAATGCATTTCTTATCACCTCTATAGTTTATTGAACTGAATCTGTAGTAAACAAGAAATTAATTTTTCTGCCACTGGATTTATTTATCTTTTATAATATATTTATTTATTATTAGGGTTCATTATCACTGTAGTAGGTTTATTCCCCAAAGTGCAGTTGGGTATATATAGGTATAGGTTTAAATGTTTCTAATTTCTAGATTAAACCCAAAAAAGTCGTACACCTCGTGTGCCTCCGATTATAATCGAAATTACTTAATAAAAAAAAAAACATGTCATGGATAATTAACAACGTGAACCCATTTTAAGGACCCAATTAAAAAAAAACGTTAGCATATTTGATCAATAAAAAATTTTGAAATAACCAATAATACTACCTACATAATCGGAAACATTAATGTCGATTATTCAAGAAACATCTCTTTGGACATTCATTAATCAATAAACAAGCAGCAATTAAAAATTAACTAATTACCGATAATTGAAGCAAACTAAAAATAATTAACAAAGAACAAGTTAAACTTATATACGTATTCTGTATTCTAATTCCAGTCGGGTTTGCGTTACCGAACTGTGTACTGGTCAGCAATACTAAGTTCATCGAAATTATGCTGTAAAAACTATACCAAGAAACAAAAACAATGTTGCTGTCGATTGTAATTTACGGAATTCTGATCGCTTTTATTGTTAAGATGGTTTTGAAGTCTGGGTATACGTTTTATCATGGTCCTGAATGTCTTGTTGGGAAAGTTGCCATTGTTACTGGTGGTAATAAAGGTAAGCAAAAGTTCTTACTTGTTCTTAAGATGTATCGTATAATCGTGTGACTCATAGAGTTTTGTATATTTCCGTATGGTTCTCCGTTCGTAGGTCGATCGAGTGTACGCCACTGATATTATCCTGTTTCTGACTACCCCCTCAACCTTTCCATGCTAGTATGAATTCAATCCTATGTACAGTTTTGGAATAATCATACAGTTTCCTATGTACAGTTTTTGAATAATCATACAGTTTTCTACGTACAGGGTGTTTTTTTTATATATTCACACCCCACCCACAGCATTTACCTTTACAGGCAGATAAAAGGTGTAAATACAAAAGTTGTACAGTACCTATTGACTAAATTTTTAGAATCCATGGTCAGAAACAAAAATTGAATGTCAGAAATGTGAAATATTGCATGCTTTCAGCTTTTTTTCAAATGGGATGCGCTATATTTGGTTCTATATTCTTGAAGAGCATAATTTCCCGATTCCAAAACTATATAGTTTGTCTATATTTGGTTGAGTCGTCTCCAACATATTTGGTTCTAAAAATTTTAAAAATACTATCAGAAAAACCAAATACCAAAAACCAAAAACCAAGTATAGTGAAACTATTAAAATAATGGTTGCAGGTCATCAATGACGTCGAAATTATTGCCAACTGCAGTTTGTGAGACATTAAAACTCAAACCGCATTTTCTCTTTTTTTAACCCTAGTTAAAAAGAGATAGAATGCTGTCGGATCATATAACCGAATCTGCTGATAAAATGGGATTTAGGTTGGCACTCGTGGGTAATGTTGCCAATAGTTGCCTTCTGCAAATCTTTGGTTATTGATTTCAATATTTTGAGGTTTGTTGTCAGTTTCTGACGAGGCGGGGATTGATAGTTGGGATATAATTTAATTTGCTATAAAATTGTATTAGTGGAATTTCGTTTTTTAGTATTATAATTATTCTTATCAATTTATTAATAAAAATGTTACCTGGGAAAATGACAAACCTTATGGTTTGTCAAAGTAAAACGAAGTTGATGCGGCAACATTGCGACATGCCAACGTCAAAAATTTAGATTCCCCACATACATTATTTTATTATTATCCCTATACCTCAAATTTTGCCTGCAGCTTTCACCTATATAGATAGAATGATTCACAAAATCAGTAGTAGGATAGTATTTTTACAATTTTTGGACCCGAATATATGAGAGATTGTTGAATCAAATATAGATCGGCGCATTGTGCTCTTCAAGATTATAGAATGAAATATAGGGCATCCCATTTGAAAAAAGCTGGAAGCATGCAAAATTTCACATTTCTGGATTCTGACGATGGTTTTTAAAAATCCAGTTAAAACTGTACAACTTTTGTATTTACACCTTTCTTCTACCTGTAAAGGTAAAGGCTGTAGATGGGGTGTCAATATATAAAAAAACACCCTGTACAAATAAGTGGATCATTGCGGAAGTTATAGGTGAACCTCTACTCACTAGCCATCTACTCACCAATATACTGTTGAACTATTCAAATAAGACATTCACCTAAAACGTGTACTTTTTAAACTAATGAGAATAACTCACATTTGAGTGTCAGGTTAGTATCGTACTTGAACAACATATTAGTGAATAGATGGCTGGGTCTAACCATACGTTCCGCAACAATCCACTCGTTTGTACTTGAATAACTTGTCACAATATATTATTAATTTGGTAAAGTAACATTACTAATTCCTGTTGAAAGTCAAATTGACAAAAAGTGGATAATCTTACAAATTTTGACTTTATATATTAAGTTATTGTTCAAGTACAAATAAGTAAATTATTGCAGAACTTATGGGTGGACCTCTCAGCGAGTTCCGCAGCCATCTACTTACCAATATACTGTTGAACTGTTCAAGTAAGACATTCACCTGAAACGTGTAGTTTTTAAACTAATGAGAATAACTCACATTTGAGTGAGTCAGGTTAGTATCGTAATTAAACAACATATTGATGAATAGATAGCTGCGGAACTCGCTGCGCTCGTCCCGCAGAGGTCCACCCATAAGTTCCTCAACAATCCACTCGTTTGTACTTGAATAACTTGTCACATTATGTTACTACTTTGGTAAAGTAACATTACTAATTCGTGTTAAAAGGCAAATTGACAAAAAGTGGATAATCTTACAAATTCTGACTTTATATAATAAGTTATTGTTCAAGTACAAGGTGTTTTTTTATGTATAAACGCCCCACCTACAGCTTCCACCTTTACAAGTAGATGATACAAAAGTTGTACAGTATTGGCTAAACTTTTAGAATCCATGGTCAGAAACAAAAATTGAATGTCAGAAATGTCAAATGTTGCATGCTTTCAGCTTTTTTCAAATGGCATGCCCTATATTTGGTACTATATTCTTGAAGAGCACAATTTCCCGATTCCAAAACTATATAGTTTGTCTGTATTTGGCACTAACTTGTTTTGACAGAATACAGAAGTTTTGTTGTAGCCACAGAGTCAAAAAATTAGGTTAGAATAATGGAATTGTCATTGAGCCATGTTAAGTTGTTATAGACAGAATATTCCCAATTTATTAACAATAAATTAAGTTCAGTAAAACAGTGTTGTGTTAATTAGTTTAACAGAGTCCCAACCCAATCAATCCTTAACAGGTTATGGGCCCAGTCTTGATCTAGTGAAAAGAAATAAGTTGAGAACAGCTTAAGTGCGTGTTGTAAAGTTCAGCAGACTGTCCTTGCAGCGTGCCAGTTAAAAGATTCGGAAATGGCGGGAATTAGTAGTGTTTCTGTACCTGTGTTAGAGGCGAACAATTATAACAACTGGGAGTTCCGAATTAAAACTGTAATTAAACGTGAAGCATGTAGTGAGGCATTGGAAGATTCCCCACCAATAAATGCAACAATATACATCAAGAACAAATTCGCAAAGGCTGATGCAAAGGCGCAATCAATTATTGTGCAAGGTGTCTCAGACAAGCATCTAGATTTAATCAAAGACTGTCAAGAGTGCAAAAGAGCAATTAACAGCTTTAAAAGATGTGTTTGTAAGAACAAGTTCTTTTACCAAACTATCTTTATGGAGAAAATTACTCAATCTGAAGCACAACACAAACGAGAAAATAGAAGATCATTTTTTTGAAGTTTGACACTATAATTCGAGAGCTAAAGGACCTAGGATCAAATATTGATGAGAGTGATAAAGTTTGCCATTTATTATTGTCTTTACCATCAAAATATGAGGCAGTAATAACAGCTTTAGAGACAATATCCAATGTTAAAATTGATTTCGTGAAGGCTAGACTATTGGACGAGGAAATAAAACTAAATACAAGACAAGAAATGAATAATGAAGAAAAGAATGAAGTAAGCTTCAAAGCAATGTGTAAAGGCTGTTATATATGTGGTAGCACTTATCATCTTAAAGCACAATGTCCAAGACAAAATCAAAATCAGAATAGAGGTTAAAACAATTTTAGAGGTAACTACAATGCAAGAGGTCCGAGACGAGGTAATAATTTTAGAGGTCACAGAAATGAAAACAGGGGAAATTATAGACAAAACGAAGCCCATACTGCAGAAGTAGACTCAATAGTTCTTCATGCAGCAAATTTGTGCAACGAAATTGAAGGCAAGGTGTCTTTTGTACTGGATTCGGGTGTAAGTAGGTAACCATTTTGTGCAACAGAATCTAGAGAAATATATGCATACTTAACATTGAAACTGTGCCAGAATTTGTAAGTATACATATAGCAAATGGCTAAATCCTAAAATCAAATAAAATGGGCACATTGAAAGCAGAATGTCAAGTTCAAACAATCAAAATTGAAGCCTTGATTGTCCCAAATATAAAGCATAATTTGATTTCAGCCTCAAAATTGATAAATAAAGGACATACAATTATGGTAGAGAAGACTAAAACTACAATAAGTGGTCGAATTTTGCATTAACCTGTGAAAACAGAAATTGGTTATATGTTCTTATTATTATGATGCAGAAATGTGGCACAAGATTGGGTCATGCAGGTAAAAATGCAATGCTGCAACTCGGACTAAAATATCCCAGTAAAATTTGTTCAACTTGTGTAGAAGGAAAAACCACAAGATCTCAATTTTTCAAGAATGAACAACACACAAATGCCATAGGCGAACTAATACATAGTGATATTTGTGGAACAATAATTCCAAGCACTATCGATGGAGGAAAATACTTTCAAGTGGATGATTTTTCACACTTTTTGGTGATTAAAATTTTAAAGAATAAGAGTGGAGCTGATTGCTGAAGTTAACCTAAAAGAATATGTTCAAGAAATTGAAATACAACATAATGTGAAAGTAAAAAGATTTAGACTCGACAATGGTGGTGAATTCACCTCAAAACTTTTTCAAGAATTTTGCAAGCAAAAAGGCATCAGATTAGAATATACCATTGCTTATACCTACTCCACAGATGAATGGCAAATCCGAAAGAATAAATTGAACTCTACTGAATATGATTAGAACAATACTCTGGTATATCTAAAACACTATGGGCAGAAGCTTTAAAGTGTTCTGTTTATGAATTGAACAGAACACCAACATCTGTTTTACCTAGAGGTCAAACTCCATCATACATTTGGCATGACAGAAACGACATCAGTAAACTGAGAATATTTGGCTGTAGGGCATGGTACACTTTATTGCCAAAAGGACGAAAGATTGACCCAAAAGCAAGAAAAGCAGTTATGGTGGTGGCTTTAGATTATGGTTGAAAGATGAAGAAAAAGTCATAAAATCAAGAGATGTGCGATTTGATGAGGGATTTATGGAGTATAAAGGAAATACACAAAAAGATGACATAAGTATAATACCTATACCTGAAGAGGAGGGCAATAACAGTGACGAACCGCAAGAAATTAAAAATGAGCTAAACGAGACGGAGAATGAACATGTAGATACAGAAAGTGAAGACGAGCAAAGTGAGACTGAAAATCGAATACATCACGTGGAGGCAACTCACTCAGGAAGAAATGTTTTAAAACCAAAGAATTTACAAGATTATGAGTTATATGTGACATACTGTTTACTATCTTCATCGGATGCAGAGCCAAAGTCATACCAAAGATGCTAATGAATCAACGGAATGGCGACAAGCTATAAATAATGAGTTAGTCTCATGAAAGGTTAAACACATGGACACCTGTAGAATTACCAAAAGGTCAAGTAGCCATTGACACGCGATGGGTTTTCAGAATTTAAGAAGATGGCACGAAAAAGGCACGATTAGTGGTCAGAGGATTCCAAGTTCCTAATGACAGCGAAGAATTTAGCTATGCACCAGTTTGTCGACTACCAATAATAAGAATTATGATATCAGTTGCTGTGCAAAAGGATTGGACTTTAAAACAGATAGATGTACAGTCGGAATCATTGCAATTGGCACACACTCTTTAAAATCCCTCGTATTAAGTCAAAATTCTAACCAATAAATCTATTTAGTGCAGCATTTTGCTATTACCACAGCATATACAAAAACAATCAGCAGGCTAACTCTCACGAGCATCTTTTCTGCGCACGCCGCCATTAGGGGATACCATTTTGTCATAACGCTGTCATTAAATGGCAGGAGCGCCGAAATTTTATTTTATTTGCTTATTTCTGACGGAGGTCATAGGCGTGCTGTGTAGAGCGGAATTTCAGCTGTGATTTTCAAAATGATTTTGATATATTCGTGTTGTCATTTATGGTGTTGTCTGTTATCATTCTTGTATATTCAATAATAATAATAAATTAGTAATTATAAACATTATTATATGTTAGTAATAATAAATTAGTTTATTTAAAGCCCATACGACTCTGTCACAGGAAAGAAAAAACCTAAATTATTGTTAATCAGGCCCTGTTTCGTATCCCAAAATGGCCGCTAGTGACATTTTGATGATGAATTCCTTTATTACACGGGCTGTCACTCAAGTTAGCCTGCTGATTGTTTTTGTATATGCTGTGCTATTACTGTGTGTCAGGTTTGACACATTACGAGGGATATTTATATAGTGTGTGCCAATTGCAATGATTCCCACTGTACCAACAGCATTCTTAAATGGTGTACTGGAAAGTGAAATATACATATATTAAAACCCCTGAAGGGCTAAATAAGAGGGAACTTGCATAGAGAAGTGCTTTCTATAGACACGAATTAAAATATTGATTTTGATTGATTTGTTGCTATGAAAAAAACAAAATGTAATGCAAAATTTAAAAAAAAAAAAAAAACTAATGTATTTGTCTTTGCGTAATGCATAAAATAGAAATATTTATTGTTTTTAATAATCAACGTTTGCTATTTTTCATGCATTTTCTCTCTAATCAGATTTTTATTTCAAAAAGTATGTGCTCGAAGCAAAAATGTTGTATCTAACTCGTGCGAAAAGTGACTTTACCGCCCTCGACGGCTTGCCCAAACTCCGCTTCGCGTGCGGTAAAGGACCACTTTCCGCACTTGTTAGGTAAATAACAGGTGAATAACTATTCCCAACCAGACTTGAATTTGGTGGTACGGTGACTGAATTATCACTGTTTAACGCAAAGACGTTGGCGGCCATGTTTTTCGAAATGGCGACTTTAGCTCACATGCGATTTTTTGGGACTTTTGGATTTTCATTCTACGCTAAAAAATCCATCGAACATAACTGTTCACAAACACCTCACTAAAAGGGCTATAATTATAGAAATTTGCCTGGTCTATTTTAACAGGAATTAATAATGTTTTTACCAAACTAGTAACATAATGTGACAAGTTATTCAAGTACAAATGAATGAAATGTTGCGGAACTTATGGGGCCATCTATCCATCAATATGTTGTTTATTTACGATACTAACCTGATTCACTCAAATGTGACTTATTTTCATTAGTTTGAAAAGTACACGTTTCAGGTGAGTATCTTATTTGAACAGTATATTAATGAGTAGATGGCTGCGGAACTCGCTGCGCTCGTCCCGCAGAGGTCCACCCATAAGTTCCGCAACAATCCACTTATTTGTATAGATTATCCACTTTTTGTTAATTTGCCTTTTAAGAGGAATTAGCAATGTTACTTTACCAAACTAGTAATATATTGTGACAAGTTATTCAAGTTCAAACGAGTGGATTGTTGCGAAATTTATGGGTGGACCCAGCCATCTATTCACCAATATGTTATTCAAGTACAATACTAACCTGATTCACTCATTTGTGAATTGTTCTCATTATGTTGTACATTGTAGTGGCAATATATTGCACTACATTTTCATCTTGATCCTGCAATGTAGTTGGTGCTACTCGAGTGTCAACTGGATTACTTTTGCCATCTATCCATCAATGTGTTGTTTAATTAGGATACTAACCTGACTCGCTCAAATGTGAGTTATTCTCATTAGTTTAAAAAGTACACGTTTCAGGTGAGTGTCTCATTTGAACAGTTAAACAGTATATTAATGAGAAGATGGCTGCGTCCACCCATAAGTTCCGCAACAATCAACCTATTTGTACTTGAAAAATAACCTATCGTATCAGAATTTGTAAGATTATCCTCTTTTTGTCAATTTGCCTTTTAACAGGAATTTGTAATGTTACTTTACCAAACTAGTAATATATTGTGACAAGTTATTCAAGTACAAACGAGTGAAATGTATGGGAATTTATGGGTGTTATTCAAGTACAATACTAACCTGATTCACTCAGTTGTGAATTTATCTCAGTAGTTCAAAAACTACACGTTTCAGGTGAGTGTCTTATTTGAACAGTTCAACAGTATATTGGTGAGTAGATGGCTGCGGAACTCGCTGCGCTCGTCCCGCAGAGGTTCACTCATAAGTTCCGCAATAATCCACTTATTTGTACAGGGTGTTTTCTCAGAAACCATGGTCAGAAACAAAATTTGAATGTCAGAAATGTGGAATTTTGCAACCATTCTATATAGGTGAAAGCTGCAGGTAAACTTTGAGGTACTTACTTGGTTTCTCTCATGGTATTTTTATAATTTTTAGAACCAAATATGTTGGAGACGGCTAAACCAAATATAGACAAACTATATAGTTTTGGAATCGGGAAATTGTGCTCTTCAAGAATATAGAACCAAATATAGCACATCCCATTTGAAAAAAGCTGAAAGCATGCAATATTTCACATTTCTGACATTCAATTTTTGTTTCTGATAATGGATTCTAAAAATTTAGCCAATACCGTACAACTTTTGTATTTATACCCTCCATCTACCTGTAAAGGTGAAGGCTGTAGGTGGGGTGTCAATATATAAAAAAACACCCTGTACAGTTTCTGAATAATCACACAGTTTCCTATGTACAGTTTTTGAATAATCATAGTGCGACTTTTGAGTATTTTTCTACCAAAATTGTTCAATTTTTTCATTATAAGACAATAAATAACCGGTGGATAATAATGTTTTGTTTTCACTCCCAAATGAAGTATTTTGCGTAGGTAGGTATTGGTGACAGTCAACAAATTTCAGGTTTTTTTCTGAGAGTTGTAGAAATAGTAGGTACCTACTACCTACTTATCTATCCACCAAATATTTTTCACAAAAACAACTCAATATTTTGAAAATTCTTACCTACATAGCAAGGTGGAAAGGGTTACATTTCTGTCAAGAGATTAGAAATTACCAATTTACCAATAATGTCCAACAAAGTTGAGAATAGGGTAGTAGCAATAACTAATCATCATCGTCATAGACAATCACTCGATACCGAGCATGAGTGATATTATTCTATTCTTATTATCGTTGTTATTAATTCTTTTTTCCAGGTATTGGTTTTGAAGTATCCAGATGTCTGGCATCGAGAGGCTGCAAAGTGATAATCGCGTGTAGAAGTAACGCGGAAAACGAACGACAAAATCTAATACAAACAACAAAAAACGAACAGATTTACGTTAAACATTTGGACCTGAAGTCGTTCGAGTCGGTGAGAAATTTTGCGAAAGAAATTTACAAAACCGAAAGCAAAATAGATATTCTAGTGAATAATGCCGGAGTGGCTGCAGATACCGGATTGTCCGGGGACGGTTTGGATCCCGTGGTGCAAACGAATCTGTTCGGGCCGTTTTTATTGACCCATTTATTAGCTGGTGAGTAGTTTTCCTTTCCTAAACTAAAGGCTGGATTTACTATAGGAGGTTCATTGTTTTTTTTTAGATTTACTTAAAAAATCCAACGATGCACGAATTGTATTTACTTCGTCGATTATGGCATTTATCAATGATCTCACAGTGGAAAATGTAAATCCGGAACCCAAGGACAGAAGAGTTGAAGACTTTTTAACAGTATATGGAAATACTAAACTAGCCGAAATTATCATTTCCAATAAGATATCGGAAAAATTGAAAAAATACGGAGTTAAATCTAATGCCCTCCATCCTGGCATGATTAGTACGAATATTTGGCAAGGTTTCGACGTGAAACCTCTTCAGTTTTACGAGCTTATTTGTAAATGGGTTACTTTAATAAGCGTTTTTTTCTACGCTAGGGTAAGGAATTGAGAGTTAGGTTTTAGGGGCAGCTTAAACATATAAATACCTACACTGTAATGTTCTCAATTTTTTTAAATTGAATTTCTTCTTTAAGTTAGGTTAGGTTTTAAAGGGTTTGCCCTACAACTGTAGAGCTTGCACTCAGAGACCCATTAGAGTATGTTAATATGTCTGATTTTTCGTGTAAATTTTGCTCTACAAGTGTCACATTCAAAATTATAAATATCCGAGTGTATTAGTTGGTGTTTCTTCAATTCGCTTTTTCGTTTAAATTTTGCTTCGCAAGTGTCACATTCAAAAGGATAAATATCCGAATGTATTAGTTCATGATTCTTCAATCGTTTAAATTTTGTTGTGCAAGTGTCACATTCAAAAGGATAAATATTAGAATGTGTTAGTTTATGACTTTTTAAATTGCTTTTCCGTTTAATTTTGCTTTGCAAAGGTCACATTCAAAAGTATAAATATTCGAATGGGTTAGTTTGTGACTCTTCAATCCGCCTTTCCGTTTAAATTTTGTTTTGCAAGTGTCACATTCAAAAGGATAAATATCCAAGTGTACTATAGTGAAATTATTTAAACAGTGTATGCACGTGATCAATGACGTCGAAATTATTGCCAATTGCAGTTTGTAAGAAATTAAAATTCGTTTTAAGCTGAGAGCTCATTCTCCTTTTTATTTAACCTTAGTTAAAAAAAGACAGAACACTGTTGGCATTTAACTGAATCGGCCGATAAAATGACATTCAGTTTGGCACTCATGGGTTATGTTGCCAAATATTGCTGCAAATCTGCGGTTACTGATTTTAATAATTTGAAATTATTTCTATTTGTGTATTTATAAAATGCCAAAGTCATTGAATAGTCAGAGTCAGAAACTCGTTGTGTCTCTAATTAGTTTCTTTGAACAGGAACGAGATAATGGGGGCCCCTTTCTGCCATTAAATAGCGTTAGAGAGGTGAAGTATATTGATACTATCAAAGTGAGTAGTTTTTTTAGATTGTGTTCATAATACACTATCTATACATATAAAAATCGATGTTTGTTTGCTTTAGTGATAACAAATTTTACTAGACATGGTATGTCAAAGTAAAACGAAAGTTAATAGCGGCAACATTGCGACGTGCTTATATGTCATTAATTTTGATCACGTGCATATACTGTTTAATTAATTTCACTATACTTCAAAGTAGTTCCCTCCCAAATCTTTAACCTGTTCCTCCTTTCTTTGTTTTGATGTGCTAGTGTGTACTTTTTACGAAGTTCAGTATTTCCATTGTGCCTATCTCCCTTTGGTTCTTCTTTTTCTTATGGTATAATCACCATTTTTTGAATTAATAGTTCTGCTTTCCATTGTATGATGACTGGTTCACTCAATCATTACATTATTGAATGCTCCTGCTCCCTCCATGTTGAGAAGTTCTTCTTGATTAATATCCATCAATTTTGATTTGAGCTCTTTTGATTCGGCACACTGTCCAATATTAACCAACTTTGAGTCATTAATTTGCGTTTGGAAAGTGGAACATTACATCACACGAGGCTGGTAATTATTATTGTTTCTAGGTAACATTTCCTGGACATAGAATAGTATATTGTGTATTTAGGTGGAAAAGTGACACATTCTCGGCCGACGGTGTAAGTTGACGGGCGAGGCGTAGCCGAGGCCGGCAATCACCGAAGGCCGAGAATGTGCTTTTCCACCGAAATACACATACTATTTTTCTGCGATCGGTTAAATACCTGTTAAATGTTTGTCTTTTAGTTCCAATCATTCAGCAATACGAGAATCACTTTCCCGGCCTAGGCCGGAAAAGTGTTTCCCTTATTGTTATTCATTGATTCCTTAGCAACTATTGAAACATAATTGAAATACCAGAATATTGAGTTTTGCGACCTGTCAACTGGTCAAAAATGCTGACATTTCTTGTCAATCGCAGAAAAACTATATTGTTTAATATCAGGCATGATTTTTTCTGTGTAAGCTGCTCCCTAGACGCAAATGAAATCGAATATTTCTCAATTTAAAAAATGCGTAACCATAATTTCATTTTCAGACCCCATATGAAGGAGCTCAAGGCATAATCGAATTAGCCATCTCAGACAAACACAAAGAAACGAGCGGAAAATTTTATTGGGCATATCGAATGACCACCATATTTCCGGACCCTTGGAAATTGAAGAACGAAAAGCTTTGCGACGCGATTTGGTCGAAACTTGAAACTGTGGTGAAGTTGAAACCTGAAGAAAAGTTGAAGTAGATTTAATTAAGTCGATTAAGAAATTTTGAAATCATTGTCCAAAAACCTACTTTTAATTACGATATTCCTGGACAAAAACCACACTGCGTATATATTTATTTTTATTATTATTTTTGTGATCTAACATTTTTCATTTGAACCTACTCACTGCTTAGAATAAAATATACATCCAATAAAGTATTTCAATGACATACCTATCTGGAATATTTAGATTTTTATTTTGCTCTATTTAGATGTTCTCTTGTTTACCAAATATATTTATATTGTCACTGTCTCCTATAGCAAAGTTAATTTCAGCATTTTAGTCTTGAGACGTCGTGTTGCAAGACACGCCCTGAGAAATAAGAGATAATTAAATTTTCGCTTAGTTTGTCACGACTTCAGTATATAGTAGTGTTAAAAAACTTTTTTAATTTCAAGTCTCAGTTTGATGAACAAACTAACAACGAGGCGTTAATAAATTCTTGTGAATGTCATACTAAGATGAAATATTTTATAGTGAATTTAAAAATTATTTCCTTCATTTCCTAGGCTATATCTCTCTCATACATAGTTCAAATAAAAAATTTACTATGGAATATATTCATGTAAAATTTAAATCTACTGCTAGCAGGTTTTGCTCATGCACATCCAATATCAGCGAAAAATTCTTGAATAATCATTATCCAGACTGTTTATATTTCTTCATAAATAAATAGAACAAAAGTTCACAGCGTCAAAGCTTACACGAGTTTTGCCCTCCTTTTATATTCAAAAAAGTCCTGCCAGTTTAAATGAAATTTAATGAAAACGAAATATTTTCTTTATACATGCTCTCTCTGGTGCAAGCCGTTTGCTTTTAGCTTTCAACTCAAAATTTAGTAGTTTCCATTTGTTTTGATAGGAGTTTATTATGCATGGCTTTAGGTCAAGAGAAATTTCAGACTCTGGAATCAGTCCAATAAAGTGCCACTATTATGAAATCTATCAATCCAATGTCTATATATGATTGAAGCACTTTTTCAAAGTTCTTGTATTTATTAATTAGGATAAATTGGAAATAAATCTGGAGCTCAGATATAGGATTATCAATGTTTTGCTCTCTGGATAGGTACCAAAAAAAAAACTTGTTAAATGGTGTAAAATCACTTTCACCACTTCAAAGTTACAGAGGATTCAATAAGTAGGATATTTTCATCAAATAGAATAAATTAGAAATAAACCTGAGATTCAGATATAGAGAAAAATGAATGTTCAATAGACTCTAGATATTAGAAAATACGTTTTTATAGCCTTGCAAAAATTCTCACATTTCTGAAATAGGTACCTATTTAGCTCAAAATGTATAGTTACCAAATTACCAAGATTGCATTTAAATTTACCATAAAAATGTTTTTTTTTTTTGTATCTAGAGTGTTTATTAACTCCGGTTCCAAATAATTGATTTTCTAAAACGATACTATTTTATTGCTATCTTTGTCTAACGCGTAGCATGTATACGGATTGAGTTCACTGACACAATTTTTCCTTAGATTAGCTAACTTCACGTTTCAAAAAACAAAATACCCAAGTAGGCTTTGGGTGGCTAGTTTTTATTTTCGTATAGTTTCGGTTTCAGGGTTCTCGTTTTTCGCGATTATTTTCCAATTTTCGGCCGATTTCAGTGCGGAAAAGTGTTTTAAAACTTGCCTTGTGATGTGGGGCATTTTAGTTTATTAATTGGCGACCCAGAAATACTTGATGAAAATGTAATTTTCCGAGGAAATATTATCAAGGTAAGCTAAAATTGTCCTAAGCGGTCATTGAGTTTTTATAAGTTTTAAAGTGAAAAGAAAATCATAATTTTATTTCTGAGCCTCAGATTTACCTACTTCATAAGAAATTTTCAGCGATTCTTATCGCAGTAGAGGATTACAATGCCTGAGAATTTCAGCTTATTTGGACTTATAACAGTTCCAGAAATAAAATCGTGTTAAGCAATTTGGGGTGATTTATAAATTTTTCAATTTTTCTGAGTGCCTATTTTCATAGAATCCGGCTCCAAATCTTAGAATAATTAAGTGTATGGAGTTTGGAGGATCCCAAAGGACTATTAGGACACAAAAACTCGACAACAAAAAAATTGAAATTTCATGGTTTTAGTACTGAGGTGTTATGATTTAGATTTTGAAAAACTTTGAAAGGTCAGAACATTTTTTCTATACAAGATAGAAAGCTGAAATTTTTAGCGATTCTTATCCCAGTAGAAGACTACAATCCATGAAAATTTCAGCTCATTTGGATCTATAGTTCTAGAAATAAAATTGTGTTAAGCAATTCGGGGTGATTTATGAATTTTCAGGTGTTTCTGAGTGCCTTTTTTCATAGAATCTGGCTCCAAATCTCAAAATAATTTAGAGTAGGGAGTTTGAGGTATCCCAAAGAACCATTAGAACATAAAATCTGGACAAAATTTTTTTTGAAATTTCATCGTTTTAGTACCTACTATGGTAGCTACATTTTTTTTTATTAAAGATAGGAAGCTAAAATTTTCAGCGATTCTTATCCCAGTAGAGGACTACAATCACCGAAAATATCAGCTCATTTGGATTTATAGTTTCAGAAATGAAATCGCGTTGAGCAAATTGGGGTAAATTTATCAATAATTAAATTTTTCTGAGTGCCTTTTTCCATAGATTTCGGCTTAAAATCTCAGAATAATTTAGTATAGTGTATGGAGTTTAGGGGGTCCGGAATGATCATTAAGGTACAAAATCTCAACAGTTAGAGTAGGGGAACTAGGGAATATTTGATCACTAGGGATATTTGGTCACTTTCAAGTTTCTTCAAGAACTGATATATTTTCCATAACTTTTGTACTTCAGTGTAAGGAGCCACTATATGGCAACCTTGGTAAGGTGTTAATTTTGTTGTGCTTTGGTTTTGGTATTTGGGTTTGTCTGTTATCCATTTGTTTGATAAATTAATGTCAATTTCTTGGAAATATTTTTTCTATTTTTTTTTTGAGTTAGTGCACATGCGCACACCTTGATATAAGGACTTAATTTATATTGTAACTGCTGGGCAGTAAGCAGACAACGCTCTGAACGAGCACAAGCAGTATCGTCGGGAACCATCCCTTCGTATCATAATGAATCTGAAATAGATGATGATGGCGCGTCCACGGCCGGTTCGGTAGGTGGCTCCAATAATGCACAGAACTTGGTTAATATAAATTTTAACGTTCGTTTTCCTCAAATTCCGTTGCCTAAATTCTCTGGGGATTATCAAACGTGGATGGAATTCAGGGAGACTTTTCAATCACTAGTGCATAGTGATAGCAGTATTCCACAAATCCAGAAATTTCATTATTTACGGGCAGCCTTGGAAGGCTCCGCTAAACAAATTATTGAATTCCTGGAATTTTAATCTTTAAATTACTTCATAGCTTGGGACCTTTTATGTCAAAGATTTAATAAAACGAGGTTGTTGGTATACAACCACATTAAGGCTATTCATGACATCACACCGATAGCCTATGAATCTGTTTCTGAGTTGAGGAAGCTGATCGATACGGTAGGTAAACATTTGAGGGCACTCGAAGCTCTCAACTAATCAGTGGCTCATTAGGACACTTTGCTATTGTATAACTTGTCAGGTAAGTTAGATAAGGTCACAGTTAGAGAGTGGGAAACCTATAAAGGGAAAAATGAATTGCTGACCTTGAAGGATTTTAAGTAATTTTTGAGGAGCAGAGCTGAACTTCTAGAAACTCTCGATTTGAATCAAACCATTTCGAAACCAAAAGTTAAGGATAATTTCTACCATAAAAGTAAATCTTTTTCTACCGCCAATGTTACTTTAAAGTGTGAACTTTGTCAAGGCACACATACCTTATCAAAATATGGAAGATTTTTGGCACTTTCGATTTCTGGCAGAATTGCAGAAACAAAATCCCTACGTCACTGTTTAAATTGTTTAAAACCTAATCATTCTAGTTTTAACTGTATGTACATCAAGTTCATGTAGAACTTGTGGGAAAAGACACCACTTTTGCTTTTGTTTCGACAGCTGCGTCATCATCAGACTCGTGCAATCAAAATCCTCCTAGTGACGTGAATAAACTAGAACCAAAACACGTTTCAGAAACAACAGTGGCTCTAGCAAGCCGTTCAACCCACCACACAAACCCTTGTGAGGTTTTGCTTTCAACTGCAGTTATTTATGTAAAAGATTTTTCGGGGAATTATCAGGTCTGTCTAACTCTATTGGATTCAGGTTCAATGTCTAATTTTATTTCAGCCTCCGCCTGTGATAGATTGGGTATTGAAAAACAAAAACTCAATATATCTTTTGTAGGTATAGGTCAAAGTGCTTCTAAAGTAAATGAAAAAGGTTTGATCAATATAAAATCATGTTATGACAATTTTCAAACGTCGGCTACGTGCTTGATAATCCCTACTATAGGTTATAACATTCCCATGCAGACTATAGATAATAAAGGTTTTAGAGTCCCTTCTAATATCAAACTAGCGGATCTTGAATATTTTAAACCTAGTTCCATTGATATTTTGTTGGGAGCTAGCATTTTTTGGACGCTGATTTCTACGAGTCAGAAAAAATCAGGTAAAACAATGCCAGTTTTGCAAAATACTCTCTTAGGTTGGGTAATATCTGGTCTAGCACTAGGTTTAGTTTTTCTGACGACACGTTAAACACTGTAACTTTCAGTTTGACCTCTAGTCCTTTTTTAGCAGTTAGGTGCTTAAAACAACTTGCACGTGAAAGTACGGAGATACATCCAAGGACTTCGCAGATCATTTCCAATGGGTTTTATATGGATGACTTACTCTCAGGGGCTGGTTCCGAAACGGAAGCGAGGGAAATATGTCGTGACGTTTTCAACATCTTGAAATTTTTGAGTTAAAAAATAGAATGGGGTAGTATACAAGTGATTTTTAACAACTGCGTAGGGATATACTCGACGTATCGTACTATTTTGTGTAATCAGTTGCTTTGTAAAAACCGCAATAGGCTGGAATTTTGCTTTTCAAATTTTCTCTTAGCCCCGCTCCTACGTGCAAATAAAAGTTCGTGACGTAGTTAGTTTTTCCAATCTGGCAACACATCATGGCTTTGATAACGCGCAATTTGCACTGACATTGACCGTCAAGAACGAAACGTCAAATTTACTACACAAAACAAAAAAAAAGTTGATGTGACAATGTCACATGTCACATGATTCACACGACACCACACGTCGTTGAACTGTTGGAGTCAGCTGTCGTTTAGAGGCGTTTAGAGCAGTGTTGTCAGATGGCGAGCGGCTCGAATACTATTGGTCGCCGGTTTGGCGCTAAATTCAAATTACAGTTTGTTTTTCTCTGACTAATTCTATAGACACTATTCTAGAAAATAATTTAGTATCTCACTATACCATCACCATTTAGCCTATAGAATAATGTCGAGCAGTTTTTTTACTGATTTTCATACATCGTATACTACCCCATTCTAACTCCAAAAGTTTCTTTTATGAAAAAATTGAATTTGGGCGATAGCTCGAATATTAAGGAATTTGGTAAACAGAGTCAGTCTAAAACTCTAGGTTTGTATTGGGATAGTAGGGAAGATATGCTAATGTTTAAAGTCGGTAATCTTGAACCCAGACTTGTTAGCAAGAGAAGTATTCTCTCAGATATAGCGCAAATATTTGACCCCTTGGGTCTTGCAAGTCCATGTATAATTATTGCGAAATGTTTGCTTCAGGGTCTTGGGTTGGAAAAGTTATCCTGGGATGATGAGATTCCTCCAGTTTTGAAAACACTTTGGTTGCTTTTTCGAGAAGAATTACCACTTTTGAATTCATTGACAATTCCACGTCATGTTCTATGTAACGATCCTGTATCCCGAGAGCTGCATGGATTTGCGGACGATGTTCAAGGTTGCTCCTATTAAAGCTTTAACCGTACCAAAACTAGAATTATGTGGAGCTCTTGCTTTGGCTGTTAGTCAACAAAGTTCAGTCAAGTTTCGAATTTAAATTTGACAAAGTGGTGCTTTGGTTAGATTCAACGGTTGCTCTAAGCTGGATTCGTTCCCCAGCAAATCAGTACCAAATATTTGTCGTCAATCGAATTTCACAAATTCAATCCTTGACAACTCCTGATCAATGGGATTACATAAAAACTGACGAAAATCCTGCCGACCTAGTTTCTCGTGGTGTAAATTGATTAATAACATTTTGTGGTTCCATGGTCCAAAATGGTTGAGTGAACCCTGAGAATCCTCGACGGAAGAACAGCTTTCATTTCAAGATCCACTTCCGGAAAAGAGAAAACCAACTGTTGCATATGTCTCCACATATATCGAACCTTTCATGGAGTTTC